ACTGCATTGGAGGTGCCGTGGGGTCAGAGATCTGTGAATTCAGTGCGGCAGGCAGGACTGACACTCTCTTCCTATGTGTTTCTACAGATCCTAGCAAAACAGGCCTCATTCTCAGCTGGGGCCTGGTCTATTGTAATACAGACAACAATCATAAAAATAATGAACGTATTAGGCTAAACCAAGTGTTTGCTCAATAATCCCTTCCTATTGTGTGGTTTATCTGTTCTCTCGTACTTACCTAAAATGTGGGGTTATACGTGGTTGGACTAATAATAATCAGCATTCCTTTCTTACCTTCCCTTGGAGGATCTCAAAGCTCGTTGCAAACATTAATTAAGGCTCACAACTCCACTGTGAGGGACATATTATTCCCATTTGATAGATGGGGAAACTGAGTCACAGTGAGGTGAAGTAATTTGTTGACGGTCACTTGTATAGTCAGTGGCAGAGACAGGAAGGACTCCCAGGTACTTTCCAGACCCTGGCTTAGACTGCTAGGCAACATGAAACATGCATTTCCAAACTGTTAGATTATTTCCCTTTAGTGCTTTTGTTAGGAGTTGAGGAAATCAGTGGGTGATCAAAGCAGGCTCTTCTTCGTACCATTACAAATAAGGGCTGCTTCACATGAACATCATTGTTCAGGGAATGCCAGGGTTTGACGTGTGTCATAGGCTCATTCTGGCACACATTGAAATCAGCAGCAATTGTCCCACTGACTTCAGACGGAGTAGGAGCAGTCCTTAGATGTACAACACTCCTGCTCGTTTTCTCCCCGACTCCGGAGCGCTGCAGTTTCCCATGTGCTGAGCTCAGATCCAAAATGCAGGGAGAGTTTGGTTTGGTTTTTTAAAGGTGAACTTCAAAGGAGCAGTAAAGGGCACGAAGAAAAAAAAATCATCTTTGCTCTGTGGTTTCTCTTTCAAGAGAATTTCATGCTCGTGAAGGATGCTGGCTTCCCAGCCCTGGAGACCACGGCTCTAAGTTTATACCCCGAGTAGGTAGAGCCTGGGCAGTGGCAGGGCAAGCTGCCCCCATGCCAGGCTGCCAAGGTGCCTTCACCTGGTCCTGGAGTGACCCCACATCTCAGGGCAAGAGGGGAGTTCGTTCTCCCTTGGCCACTGCTGACACCGGGAACCAGGGCAAGATGGGAAGGAGGGCAATTAATGCCAGTTGCAAAGTGAATACCTCTCTCTTAGGAACTGGGCTGAGACCTTCCACTTCATCTCACTCATGGCATGGAACAGCCTCAGCTGGTAGAATGTGTGGTCTCTGCTGGCACAGGCTGCGAAAGCGAAAGGTTCGGTAGCCCACGACTGATACCCGGAGCCATCCAGCTCCCACAAGCTAGTCTGTGTGCCACTGAATCAATGATGAAAGACCTCCCCATCCCCCGATTAGAACACAAGCCTTTTAACCCAGTCAGGTGGAGGCAGAAGCCGCAGAGGGGGCGGCGTGATCCTTGAATCATCTTGGTATCAGCCTGTCTCCCTTACAAGGGAAAATCCCCACCTTGACCGGCCTGACCCTAGCAGCCATTCATAAGGGAACTTGCAAGGCAGGGAGGCTTGAGAAGAAAATGAGAATAAGGAGGATTAAGAAGGCAAATAGGAACAAAAAGTGGGGATTAATGACATGGAAACAGACTGATGAGAGAGCCAGGAGCAGGGGATGGGAGCGGGAGCCCACTCAGAGTGGGGGCAGCTAGGGAGTTGGATGGCAAAGATTTGATTGAATTAGCACCTGGGAAGGGGCAAGGGGCATGGGACGGTCACTGGTTGAAAGGATAAAGAGGGACAGAGGACAGGAGGGGGCGGGAGTAGAGCCAGGGACCCAGCATGGATGGCAGGGATCTGGGGCTAGAAACCAGGAGATGTCGTGACACTGGGATTGCAGAGACACGCCACAGTCTTTTGGAAGTACTGAGCTTTTGAAGCCTCACTGAAGTCAACGGGAGCTGCAGGTGCTCAGGACCTTTGAAAACCAGGCCATCATCATTCATTATATTGGTGTTTGGGATACCTGCACAGTCCCAGCCCTCACACTTTCCCTATAGGCCAGGGGCCAAATTCTGCCCTTCCTCCCCTCCCCTCCCCCTCCCCCCATAGCGAGGTAATCCCATTGACTTCACAGACATAGCAGACAGCAGAATCTGGACCTGGGAAACTAACATCCAGGAAACTAGCCTACAGCCTGCAAAGACTCCGGCGGATTGAATTCCAAATCCTGTGACGCTTTGCAAGGAGCTGGAAGGCTGGGAAGAGGGGGAGAAGGGAAGCAGTAAAAAGGACAGAAGGGCATGGAAGACTGTGATCATCAGGGCCCAGGAAAGAGATGGGAGGAGATTCTCTTTCATCTCAGGACCTTGTTCCCTGGCCTATTGACTGTGTATTGCCTAAGAATTCCCAGTTAAGACATAGAGGTTTGGTAGATCTTTGTCCCAAGATCAGGCCCAGCATTATTAGAATTACAGGTTAGTTGGGAACCTTGCTGTCCCACACGGTTGCCCCACTTACACTTAGGAAAAACCTTCTGAATCTGCAATTGTCTTATTCACACAATTGATAAAGTCCCAAACCCAGCAAGGCAGATAGAAATCACACAGCACGTGCGTCTGAGCATCCACATCCTTCCACCATCCCTTGCAAAAGGACCCGAAGTATCAGTCATCATCATCCTGAACATCATCATCACCGCACTGGTGGTCGTCATCCTGGCATCTCCCAAGAGTTACACCTCCCAAGGCACACAGGCCGGGACACAACTTTTACAACGTGTTATACGCTGATGCCATTCTGCCTAAGGCACATTCAGTAGGGGGTTCAGCCCTTTCCCCTGATTTGTCATTCCTTTTCACTCAAGCTTTTCAGCACATACCTCAGTTAGTTACCACGGCACGCTTGTGGTCAGGCATCTGCTCATGTTCCTAATGGAAAATATCCCAGGCTGGTATAAACTAGCATCTTGTGATATCTTATGAGCTAGGGTTACTCCTGGTTAGCTGCTTATGCTAAGGGTTTTGAGCCTTATGCTTTGTTTAGCTAAGGTCTTGTAGGCTTATTCCATTACTGTCTTAATTTACACCCTTGTAAATACCTCTACCTGTAGGCTACGCTCTTAAGGCACTTTACACTCTATGTTTGTTTGCCACCCCAAGCACGGCAGTCAGGCAGCCTTCGGCGGTGTTTCTGCGGGAGGTCCGCCCTGGTCACGTGGATTCAGTGGCGGTTCTGCGGGAGGTCTGCCGGTCCCGCGCCTTCAGCGTACTCGCTGCTGAATTGCTGCCGAAACCGCGGGACCAGCGGACCTCCTGCAGAAACGCCGCCAAAGGCTGCCTGACTGCCGCCCGCACAGCGACCGGCAGGCAGCCCCACGCGGCTTGCTGCCCCAGGCACGCGCTTGCTGCGCTGGTGCCTGGAGCCGCCCCTGTTTACAAATATTAATTTTCACAACAGCCCTGTGAGGCAGGCGGCTACCAGGGGTATTAAATATATATGTAATGGAAACTGAGGTTAAGGTGGGTTAAAGGTTAAAGTGTCAGTGGCACAGCTGGGAAAATAGCCCAGGGGTCCTGACGCTCACTTGCTGACTCTAACTACTAGAGTCCGCTCGTTCCCAGTTCAAGTCAGCGAGGAGCACTGGTGCTCCCACATAGCAAACAAGATACCCCCTCATCAAATTAATTTCCAGTCAGGAAGGCAGCTCCCCAGCCACTGTAAACCAGAATAGTTCCCTCTGGCCCAGCGGGATTTAGTGGGAATCCAAATGACAACATTGAACCAAAGAAACATTATTATGAGTTGATCGACTGAGAATTTAGGGTGTTAAACATGGCCCCGGGCCTGCGTCTCCTCTCACTTATACCAGGGCAAGTCTGGATCAACTCCATTGAGGTCAATGACATCACCTTGGTCAGCTAGGAGAATCAGGTGCACTGAATTCAATGGAGTTCCCTAGGCCCAGTGCTTTCAGGGCTCTTATAGCTCTAAATAGTCATGTTCCAGAAAGTTTGAGAGCTGATTCTTCCTCCCTCCTGCAGTGCCCAAAGCTTTGTAATCAGCATCAGGCTCCAAAAGGGAACCTGAATTGCTGGCACAGTGGCTGGCTGAGGGGAACACAAAGAAATTGCTGATAAGGCTACAGGAGTGTCTGTGTGGTGGAGGTGGGGGCGGGGGGGGGGGAGAGGGTTGGATTTCCTGGCATTCTCCCTCCCTGATAAAAGACATCTTATGGGGACACTTCCCTGCTTCTCCTAAAACCAGATCTCTGCTCTGAATACTCAGAGGCCACGTGGGATATTTTCCATCTTCCTGCCCACAACGACCGGCTAAGATGCAGCAGGGTGTGTGAATTTTTCCTGCTCATCCTATTCTAGGAATAAATCACTGCCGGGACTCTTCGGTGGCAGGGCGTGGGGAAAATCCCCCTTACAAGCAAATCACTATGAAGTCCCGTAGGAGGTGGTGGGGGTTATTTAGCTTTCTCTCTAGATAAAGCCAGGTCTGATTCCATGCTGGCTGGGGTGGGATGGAGAGAAGATCCCCCTGGCACTTCCCTAAGACAATCACATCACTGTAAGGGGTGCAGGTGGGGAATGAATCCCCTGGACTCCCGCTATATGAATCACTGTTACGACTATCCAGTGTGTGTGTGTGTGGTGGGGGGTGATTTATAGGCTCTCTCCCGAGTCCCCACCAATTTCTCAGGCTTAGGGCCCCCTCCCAGGCTCCTGTTGGAGGGGGCAGCTGCACCCCCATGCGGACGGGGTGAGACAGGAGCAGGGAAGACGCCGCTGCCCACGCAGGCTCGCCGAGCCCCTTCTTGCGGGCAGCCGCCCAACAGCCAATCGGAGCGCAAGCCCAGGCCCTTTCCCTGCCCCTCCCCTCTTTTGCGGCTCGGTTAGGAAGGAGTTAAGTAGAAGCCCCGCCCTCTGAGGGGCTGGGGGGCGAATGAGAGCCGAGTGGGCGGGGCCGGGATGGAATGTTGTGAAAGTGGCATTAGAACGCTGTGTAACAGCTGCTGCTTGGCAGCCAGCGGGTGAGAGAGAACAAGTAGGGAAATAGATGACTAGACCCAGATAGGTGGCTAGAAATAAGCACAAGAGGGATCAGAAAGAAACGGGAATCAAAATAAATAGAGAAAGAGAGATAGCAAGATAGACACCCAGAGGGAAAGAGACCAAAATAGGCAGAAGTACTGAGAGACGAAAGGCGATCAAGCCAGATCCAGACCCAGAAAGGGATCAGCATAAGTAGTCAGCAAGAGAAAAATAGAGGGTTGGGGAGAAAAGAGATAAATGTGGTTTAATAGAGAGTGACAGAAGAGGAGGTGAGTGGAGAGCAAGAAGAAATGAATCATGGATTAGAGAGGAGGGACACGGAAACAGAGAGAAAGGTGACCGTGTACAGTAACTAGGACATATTCTATATAAATATGTACATGCCATACATGCACACAGAGGTAGAGGGGGCTAATTACATAAGGTAAGACGAGAGAGCATAGTTCTTCATACACCCAGAGAAGTGGGAGATAAAAAACCCCATACACACACAGAAATAAACTCTCCACTCAGAGAGAAAGGGGATAAAGAGAAAGAGAGCTTAATAACAGGCAGAAAGAGCAGAGAGCTTACTCTTAAAAGACCTCCAAAGACTCTCTAATGAGGCTGAGGCTGTCAGTATAACTCTGATCAATTAGTGACCAAGAGCTGGTTTGATCATCTGTGGAAAGGGCAGGGGGACATGTTCTCAGCACTGCGATCTCTTTAACTGGAAATGCTCCCCAAACACAGCAAGAAGCTAGAAGTCAAAGCTTCACAGACAGAACAGTCGAAGGATAGGAGATTGGAGCCCCGGCTGCTCTCTTGAAGCTCTTCAATGGCAGAGGAAGCGGTGATCTCTATCTATGGACCATTGAAGGTAAAGGGGAGGCTGAGATTAAAAGCTGGCAGAAGTGGAAAGGAAAAGATTTCTAAATGAGAGCATTAGCGTGAGCCACTCGGAGAGACGTTTATCTGCTGCATGCAGGAAAGTGTAAACTTTTGATACATATTGAAGTCTGAAGGGGCTGGGGGAAAAAAATCCTACATCTGAACTAAAACAGCGAAGCGTGCGGGAGCTGATTAAAATGACACCGAATATTAACCCAAGAGAAAGGTATGGTGTAACTTTTCTCTCCAGGGGTTTAAGAGCCAGGCCAAGCAGTGGTAGAAAAATGATTGTTGCTTAACACAATTTCATGCTGAAATAAATATTGCATTGTAGAAGACAGAATCAGACAGTTTGGACATTTTGTACGGCGTCAAGAAATTGAAGGGTACAGAAACGATTGTTTTTCTATGTAATGTTTTGCTATTAAAACTCCATGGGAGAACAGATTTTAAATAAGAAAAGCAAGAAGAGTCCAATTTGACGCGTGCGGTGCTGGAAATGCTGGAAGAGCCTACAGGGTTAATACAGTGCTCCGAAGTCCTGAAACAGACAGGATACAAAACACAGGCTCCTAATTGCTCCTACTCCAGTTCGGAAGCTGGCATTGGCTAGTGGACTTTGGATTGCGATCCTCCATTCTGAGCCCACCGGCATGATCTTCCTTTCTGAATCTACCTGCTGACTAAGTTCACCTCCTCCTGGTTCAAATGAGGAGTCAGGGTTCCAGATGAACATATGCAGACCAGGAAGAAATACATTTTCATAACTTTCTTTGCCTCTTGGCTTCTGCTTTTCTACTTTGGAGGAGACCAAATAAAACGGCTGGCCTTCCTCTCCAGAAAGAAAGCCGCAGTGCTGAAGAACTGGCCCCGCTGGACGGACAGGTCCCTCCTCGAGAGCTTTGCAGATCCCGAAGAACTTCAGAGCGATGGAGGCCACCACAAACAATCCGCCAAAGCCAGAAGGGAGTCGAGAATTAACATCTATAAGCACAGCAGGTGCCGCATGGAAACTTGCTTTGATTTTTCCAGGTGTGAGAAACATGGTTTCAAGGTCTTTGTCTACCCCGTGGAGAGAGAGGACCCGGTCTCAGAAAGTTACCTCAAAATAATCACATCCATTGAGGAGTCCCGATACTACACCTCCAACCCAGAAGAAGCCTGCCTCTTTATCCTAAATATTGATACTTTGGATAGAGATCATCTCTCCATCCAGTATGTCCACAACATCAACGATAAAATCCAAGGTTTCCCTCTATGGAATGACGGCCGGAACCATCTGATATTTAATCTTTACTCAGGCACCTGGCCGAATTACACCGAGGATCTGGGCTTTGACATTGGACAGGCCATCCTGGCCAAGGCAAGTTTTTATGTTGAGAACTTCAGGCCCGGCTTTGATATCTCCATTCCTTTGTTTTCGAAGGAGCATCCTCAGAAGGGTGGGGAGAGGGGCTGGCTGTACCAGAACTCTGTGCCTCCTAAGAAAAAGTACATGCTGGCTTTTAAAGGGAAAAGGTACCTGACTGGCATTGGCTCTGACACCAGGAATGCATTACATCATATCCATAATGGCAAGGATATCATCTCCCTGACCACCTGCAAACATGGCAAAGACTGGGAGAAACACAAGGACACGCGCTGTGACAAAGATAACTCGGACTATGAAAAGTAAGTCATTACTGATGTTGAGATATACTCCAATTCAGTGATTTATGGGTGAAATCCCTAGGGGATGGAGGAAACTCCACACGTGTCGAGGCTCTGGACCAAGTTAAATAGTGCACTGGAATGTAGTTAACCAATGAAAATGCAAAAACATAGAGGAAAAGATGTCTCTCCTGGCTGAGAATCAGATCCTCCGCTGATGTGAATGGCCATTGCTTCATTGGCTGTGATGATTTACATCAGCTGAAGATCTGACCCCGAACATTTAGAGTCACATAACAGACGGGTAATTTCTCTAGTCATCTTCCCTCTTCCCATCCCCCTGTATAAATCACTGCTTAATTTCCGTGATGGGAAGTGAAAGGCGGGGCTGGCCTGTTCTGTATTAAAGTTCAAATAATCTAGTGAGAGCTGCTCTTATCTGCGATCAGCCCGGCTGCCCCTCTAATACGAGATTTGCTTTTTTCCAGAATTCCGGCAGAGAGGAATGATACTTTCTCCCCTCGCCCCCGCCCCGAGCATAAATATTTTTATTGGCGTTGAACCCAAACAAAACCGCCAGAGCTGAACACCCCCTAACGTGGTGGTGCTTGAAATCTGGATCCAGGCTTTCGGCCCTTGGCCCATAGCAGTGCCTTGGCTGGTGGAGAGGTTGTTTTATCGGAATATTGAGTCTAGGCAGAACTTAGTTTGGTAATGACGGGGATTACTGCTGAGCTGTTGCAATGCAGTGGTTGTTAGAGTCTTTACTCACTAAGATCACATCTACACTCGAGATGGAGGTGTTATTACCAGCTCAGGTAGACATATGTGCACTAACTTTAACTGACCTAGCGGCTAAATACAGAAGCATAGCCATGGGGGTGAAGGCTGCAGGATGGCTAGCTGCTGCCCCAAGGACAGTTGTGCCTGGGATGCTAGGGACTTACTCGGGTGGCTGGTCTGTCCTGCCACCTACCCCTCTGCGGCGACTCCTCTTCTATTGTGAGCCCACTAGCTAGTGTGCATCTGGCTACCCCAGCTGGAAATTCACCTTCAGCTTGAGTGTAGCTGGAGTACCCATGGGTGCGTCTACACTGCCAAAAAAAAATCCCCTAGATTCCCCCATATATGAATCACTGTTCCGACTACCCACTCCCCTAGCAGCAGTGACTCTAGGGTGACCAGATGTCCTGATTTTATAGGGACAGTCCTGATCTTTGGGGCTTTTTCTTACAATAGGCACCTATTACCCCTGACCCCCTGTCCTGATTTTTCACACTTGCCATCTGGTCACCCTAAGTGAGTCTCCGAGCCCGGGTCTACAGACTTGGGCTCATGCGGCGATGGTACTAAAAAGAGCAGCGTAGCTGTTCCCTCTCAGGCTGGAGCCCGGGCTCTGAAACCCAGCCAGGGAAGTGGGTCTCAGAGCCTGGGTCTACCCCAGACGGAAACATCTACACCACAGATGCCACGGCACGAGCTCAAGTCTTTAGCCCTGGGCTCTGAGACTCGTTGCCATGTTTCTGGGGTGTTTTTTAAAATTTTTTGCAGTGTAGACATAGCCATAGAGTCTGATCCTGAGAGGTGCTGAACAGCTCCGGGTCCCATTGACTTTACTCTATGATGAGAGCGCTTAGCATCTCTCCGGAGCTGGGGACGCACTAGTTCAAGTGGGATTTTCCAGCAGGGCTGCGTTGTGATGTCAGGCTCAGCTCAGTGCTAGTGGGCATTCTTGTGACTGCAAATGATCACTGACCGAAGGATTCCAGCAGCAGGAACAGTCAGGTGAGGCGAGATTGGCTCCAGGGCATAACCCGATGGTGGTTAGGCCGACCCCCTGCCGCAGGCAGGTAATTCTGTAATTGTTCACTTTGGAGTTTGGAGACAGGATTTCAAATGAGATGGACCCCCGGTCTGCTCCTGTCTGGCAATTCCTGTGTTTTCCTCGGAGCCGTTATTGATGATGGTTGTCAACAATGAGTCACTTCCCTGACGGCCAATGTCTTATCGCCCAGTGTGCGCATTCCGATCCAAGGTTTCGGTTCAAGCCCATTGCTATCCGTTAGCAAGATGAGAGGGAATCATTAGACACAGTGGAATAATGAGAGGAAGATAATGACTGTTTTGTCCCCTTTCTTTTATACTCTGTCACCAGGAATCCCAGTGGGAGTTGGTCAGTTAGAAGTCCTGATGCCTCTAGGCTTAAATATAAAGGGATGAAATTCTGCCCAGTAGATTCAAGTGGGCATTTTATACTCCCCAGGCAGCCAGGGACGTAGGAAACAGACGTCTGGCACTGGCTGCTCACTACAGCAGTGCAGATCAAAGTGTGCGATGGATCACAGGATGCACCTGCCCCAGCTGTGGGTAGCTCCAGATCAGCTCCAGGGGTTTGAGAGGACCTGCCTGTCCCAGGGGTGGGATCCAGCTTTGCAATCTGAATGGACAGGGCTCACCTCATCCACCGAGCTGGCTCTCTGGGTCCCCAACAAACATCTGCGCTGACCGCGTTCCCTGCACTGCTCTTCCCGGTCTGGGTTCTCACCATGCACCGTCCGTCAGGGTGTCCCCACATCATGCTACTCCCAGTGGCTCTTGGTAGCATCACTGCAGTGGTCCCCTTGCCACGCTCTCGCTCGCCTCCCCACACCCTTTTGCTTTGCCTCAATCTCTGCTTCTCTAAACCCTCACCCTGCTCTCCATGATGCCTCCTCTCCATGCCCTTGCTGGATGGCTTCCTCTGGAGTATCTCAATGCCACTCTGAGCAGCACCTAGTGGAGGTCCCAGGGCTCTGCCCAGAGTCCTAATGGTTGGGGCCCCTCTGTACTTTCATTTCCTTCCCTCTCCCCTTCCTTGCCCTGAAATCCTGCCCCGCACCTTCCACACAATCGAACCGAATGCCAAACTCAGACCCTTGAAGCCACCTAGGTTGAAGTTGCGTTGGTCGGCCCCTGCTCTCATTGAAGCCAGTGGGGAGCAGGATGAGGCGGGGGGCAGCACCCAGTGTGCCATGCAGTGCTGGGGGAGGGAGGGAAAACACTGGTTAAAGACCCCCACCTCTCAGAAATAGCCTGGGGACCGCCAGCCAGGAGGAGCTCAGGTCTCAAGGTTCCTCTGAAAGACCCTCACACAGTCAGGTGCATGGGACTCGGTATAGCTACCTCCCAAGGCGGAAGGGCTGAGACGGCCTGGGTAGGGTTTGAAGCTGTGCATCCCGGGAGTATTGCCATTCCAAACTGCCCGCGTTGCCTATTGAGCTCGCCCCTCCAGCCGGGGCTGGGCTGTCATTATGGACCATAACCGCGTCACTAGACTGGGGTTCGGTTTGCACGTCCCAGGGATGGCTCCGCCCGTCAGCAGCAATTATATCCTGTGGTGCAGCACTGGGAAGAGTTTTGGGGGGGGTCCCATTCAATCTCCTCTCTCTTCCCCAAGGGGAGGGGACAGTTGGTGCTTGTCAGATCATAGGAGTCTTGGTAGCGGCAGCTCCCAGGGGGCCACACTTTGGCCGCGAAGCCCTGGGGAAGAAATATATGTTGGTATTTTTTTAAAGGTCTCTTCGTTAACCAAAGATCATTCGTTCCTCGAGTCAACTCTAGCTAAGGTTTAATAAGGCTACTGGCCCTTTCAGACCCTGAGGATCTCGCACTGTAGTAGTGACTGGGTTCAGAACAACGATTCTGGGGGTCGGCTGCCCTGGGCACTGGATACAGCACCTTCCTTTGCCTCTAGATCACTGGTTGGTAGTGACAAAGCCCATAATCGTCCGACGGCTGATGCGCTTCCTGGCGGTGGTACTCACATGGCTCCCAACACTGCCATGTCCGAGCAGTTCCTGATCTGTCACGTGTTTATCTTCATACAACCCTGTGAGGCAGGGCAGGGCCGTTATCCCCATTGTACAGATGGGAAACTGAGGCAGAGAGGGAGGAAGCGACTTGCCCGAGGTCACCCAGGGAGTCTGTGGCAGAACTAGGAATTACACCCAGGCCTTGTGAGTCCCAGGCTGGCACCTTAATCGCTGCCAGGCTCTCCCTAGTGGCTAAGTCTCCACATCAGAGCCCCCTTTGATGGCAGTCTCAGAAGATGCCAAGGCTGGAACAGATCTTAAGGCACTGAGCTACCTCCCAGGCTGAAAGGTGGGTCTTGTCCAGATCAGGGTGAAGGCAGCGAGCCTGGGAAGTGGGCACCTGCTAGTGCTCTAGCTGTTTTGTGGCTGGGTAGATGGCAGCGCTCACTGGGATCATGAAGCCTGGCACCAAAATGGGCAGAGAGGGTGGCTCTCTGCGGAGCCCGCCAAGGCTTTCTGTCCTTGCCCTTCTCTGCTCAGCGACAGATGCCCTGCGGCAGCCCCATAATAGATTCGGAATATCTCCATCTCGCAGGGAGATCAGATCAACAGGAAAGGCCTCTCAGGACAGCAGCATTAAAGCCATCGTCGGCCGCTAGCATTAGGAGGTAGCGGGAGGTTAATATGTGGGCTGTGTGTGTCATCAGGTGGAGCGGATTATCAGGGGCTGCAGGGAGACTCCGAGGAGTCGGGGAAATGAGAAAAGATCAGAATTCCAAAGGCCCCTGGCAGTCTCGCCTGCCTCGCAGGACGCGGCGGCTGCAGCATTAACGCTGTGAAAGCCTTTCCGTAGCCCTCCCCAGCGGCTTTGCTGCTGGTGGCGTTTCCCTGTGCGGCTCGAAGGGCCGATCTGTTAACTGGAAAGCAAGCAGAAGCCCAGCCTCCCAGTCTTGTGTGGATTGTGAACCCAGCGAGAGGAGATCCTGGATGGGTCAGAACGGCAGAGACGTGCGCCTGTCCGGGGCTCCGTCAGATCCTGCCCGCCCAGAGTCTCCCTGCAGCCCCTGATAATCCGCTCTACCTGATGACACATACAGGCTGGAGCTGCTATGTCAGGTACCCGGAGCAGTGCACCCTGGGGAGGCTACCGGGTCCTGCAGCTTGGCGTAGCTGCACAGGGCCGATGGCGGAGGGAAAGAGGAAAGCAGCCTTCGCTGAGAAACAGGACCA